TCCTTCTAGTTGCTGTATGTGGGACGCGGCCTCAGCATGGCCAGAGAAGCGGTGCGTCGGTGCGCGCCCGGGATCCGAACCCGGGCCACCAGTAGCGGAGCGCGCGCACTTAACCGCTAAGCCACGGGGCCCGCCCTGTGTGACGCTGTTTTTTGATTGGATGTTTTTGAGACAACGTTGGGTTCAGAATTGCGTATTTTATCCTTGTGAAGTCATTGTTCCTGATAATGCTCATATTCCTCCTGAGGGTCATGTTGCTGCAGGAGCTTTCTTATGTTTACTTTGTGCATCTTTCCTGTCCCATGAGTTTGAATTTTTCTGTCTCTTAGAAACAATGTAGTTTTTTAGGAAAGTGAATTGTAATGAAATTAAGGTGCATCATGTACACCTTCAACTTACACAATGTTGTATGTCAGTTGTATGTCAATAAAGCTGGAAAAACAGAACAAAACGTTCAGTTTTAGAATATCTTTAATCTTAAGTCATTTACAGTTGTGTTTACTGAAATATTTGAGTTGAATTAATGTTTGCAGAACACTTAGAATTGTGCCTGCTATAAGTGTTTTGTTAAATTAAAAAAATGTTTTTACATCCTGTATTATGCTTTTTTCATAAAAGATCCTTGTGCTCCCTTCTCGTCAGATAAGGTTACATTTTGCTTTCTTTTTTAAATTTTATTTTTTTAAATTGAGATATAATTGATTTGAGACATTTATACATTGCAGTGTTGATTTGAGACATTAATATACTGCAATATGAGTACCACCATGTTAGCTAACACCTCTATCATGTCACATAATTGTCATTTCTTGTTTGTGGTGAGAACATTTAGATCTAGTCTCTTAGCAACTTTGAAGTATATATAGTACAGTATTGTTGACTATAATCACCATGCTGTACACTAGATCTCCAGAATGTATTCGTCATCTAACTGCAAGTCTGTACCATTTGGCCAGCATCTCCCCAGCCCCTGGTGACCACCATTCTACTCTTTCTATGAGTATGGCTTTTGTAGATCCCACATGTAACTGATACCCTGCAGTATTTTGTCTACCTCTGACTTAGCTCACCAAGCATAGTGCCCTCATGTTTGTTTTCTCCTAGTGTTTATCGTTACGTTTTATTGTGTGCGCTCTACTTCTGCCTCCCAAATAATAGCCCGGAGCTCTGCATGCCTGCTAAATAATGAAAGGAACTGAAAATGAATTGACCCTGTAGAATGGAATGTTTTATTATTCAGCCTTAAAAAAGAAGGAAATCTGCCATCTGCAGCAACATGGATGAACGTGGAGGGCCTTATGCTAAGTGAAGTAAGCCAGACACAGAAGGACAGATACTGCATGATCTTACATGTAGAATCTAAGAAAGTCAAACTCAGAAACCAGAGGGTAGAAGAGTGGTTACCTGGGGGTGAGGGTGGAGGGAAATGGGGAGATGTCTGTGAAAGAGTACAGATTTCCAGTTACAGGATAAGTTCTAGAGACCTAATATACAGCATGGTGACTGTAGTTAATAATAACGCACCATATACTTGAAATTTGCTGAGAGTAGATCTTAAGTGTTCTCACCACTCAAAGGAAATAGTATCTGTTTGAGGTGATGGGTATGTTAATTAACTTGATTGTAGTAATCAATTCCCTGTGTATACATATATCAAAACATCACGTTATGCCCCTTAAATGTAAACAGTTTTGTAAATCATACATCAGTCGAGCTGGAAAAGAAAGAGTTGACGCTGTTCTGTGTGTCATCAGTTCTGGAGAGTAGTAGTTTCAGTGTCCCCTGTTTCCTAGTTGATCTGGACCTCCTGGTTACCTTTACGCTGACATTTTACCTTCTTATTCTATTTTCATGTCTCGGTACTTTCCCGGGTAATTTCCTCAGGTCTCACTTCCACGTCACCAACTCTCTTTAGCTCTATCTAATCTGCTTTTAAATTTCATTGGTCATGTTAATAATAATATAATCATTCTGCGTCATTTCCAGAACAGCAGATTGTCCCCCACTCCCACCCCCAGCGTGGTTTCCATTCGTTATTGCGATTATTTTGTGAATATTATATGTTCCCAATCAGAGTCTTAGAGGTGTTCAAACTCTTATTCATCCCGATGCTTTCCTTGTATTTAGAATTTAATTGTCAGCTCATTTTCAGCAGGGCTTATGTTTTGCTGGAATCTTTGTGACTTGGGTCGTAGAGATACTTTCTCCTCCACTTCACCATCCTGGGATATTTGATAGTTTTGGAGGGCTTGGAGAGTTGCAGATTAATAAAGGTAATGAGAGTCCATTCTGCGTATCTGAGGCTTAGGGCTTCAAGTTCTCAGGAGTGCCCTTTTTCCTTTTCTTTGTAGTTCAGTGGAAAGAGTTTTTCTTGCCTCCCTTTCTTGTAATTATAGCCCTTTGAGGAGCCAAAATCTTTTTGGGGATTTTCATTGCAGCCACTAGTTTCCTCTGCCTCAAAAGCAAGTCCCATCCTGGAAACACAGGACCCTTCCATCCCCAAGGCTTCATCTCATGATCAGCACTCTTGGTGTAATTGTCCAGTTGTTTCTGGCAGTTGAGCGTCGTCTTTCCTGGGAGCTCTGCTGTCTCTTCAAATGAGTTTGTTCGGTTGTATCTAACATTTCTAGGTATTTTGAGGTGGTAGGAGAGGGTTCTGTTTTAGATCATCCTTTGATATTTTGAGTTATTTCTCGCGTTGGGTCCCTGGACTGGTAACAAGTAAATTTCCTCTTTGTATGCTTCTTCCTGACCCTTTTGCATAGAGTTTCTCTCTAAACGTTTTATGAGACTTGCACAGGCAGACATTGTACACAAACGTGCTGAGTCATGATGTAATACAGGTTTCCCCCGCTATCCGAAAGTAGAGCATTCCTGTGAAACTTTCCGTAGGCTGAAATGGCGTAAAGCAAAGAAGCAGTTACCACTAATTTATATGGGAAAAATTTTTGAGCGTTCCCAAACCCAAAAAATAACCTACCAGATCATATGACATAGTACATAAAACCTAAAATAACACTAACATACAGTAAAAGAAGGAATGATATGATAAATACACAGACTATGTAAAGTAGAAATAATGTCTGTACAGGGTAGTTGCACTTACCAGAACCAGGAAGATGGTGAGCACACTGGAAGGCTGAGAGGTGGTGATGTTGATGGTGTATTAGGCTGAGTCATTGGAGGTTGGGGTGGTGGGAGGTACAGGAGACTGGGGTGTAGGAGAGAGAGAGGAAGAGGTCATCTATCAACATCTCATCGTCCTCTGAATCCATTGGGGCGGGCAGGTCACTGTTGCCTACACCTTCTGTGTCTGCCTGCCTTAGTGTGGAAGGTCGAGGTTCATCTGCTGTGGCTGATGTGAAGGCTTAACATACAACAGTATGCTTGACTGCTTAGCCTCTATGACAGCTCACTGGAAAACAAATGATGATGCTATTTTCGCAAAAGTGAAAATCCTCTTTGGATTTCTTTCTGTTAATGAAAACAGATAACTAATGCAGATCTTTCATAAAAGCCAGGAGATGTAAAGCAGACTTTTGGATAACAAGTGAAACCTGTAGATACTTTTTTTTTTTTTTACCATGGATTGTTGCCCAATGTTGGAAAGTAGAAATTTAATACAACTGTGCATCTTGTTTTGAGAAATGGAATAATTCGTAGTTGTGGCATTATTTAACCTCAGCATTGTTCGGCCTTAGCAGCGTGGCCTTAGAAAGGTTATGATCTCATGTATTCATTTACAGTCAGAATATTTCTTTTGAAAATCTGCTACTAGGGTTTCTGGGAAAGCTGCGGAAAGCCTGGCATCAGTTTTGGGCGAAGTGGCTTGACAGAAGAACTTGCTTTATGGGGTGAAGTTACTTTGTAATGTTGTGTGGGGTAGGCCTGTTTTATGTAAGTTTTTGGTCATTGGTTTGATGAAACTTTAAATTTAGTGGGTCAAATTTAAAGAATTCATTAGACTTGACCTCTTAAAGAGGCAGCATATGTGTAGTTCCTCTTTGGTCTGTGGGACCCGAGGCTAAATCCTCTTAGAGATGGTAGTAGAAGGGAGTTTCACTGTCCTGCCGTGTTAAGTGACCTGGATAACCCACCACAGGTGAAGCAAATCTCTGCTGCTAGTTTTCCACTGAAGGCGTAATCTCTAGGGATGCCTTCTAATTCATATTGACAACAGGGCAATAATATATTTGTTTGGTACATGGACAGCAGTGTGAAGCCAGAGGATAAAGTTACACTAATAGCCCTGTAGTCAAAGACATTTCCTTTTCCTCTCCCAGGGGACGTGTGGGAGGCTGTTGGCTAGTCCCTAGTGAGAGCTACAGGGCTGTGGAAGGTGTCTTTGTGTGGTTCCCATGTTGTGTTTGCCAGGACAGGGACACTTTGTTCATCCTGGTGGCCCCGCAGTGTTGCTCAATGCCTGGCGCAGGGATACACTGAAGGAGGGAGGTAACAGAAGCTCCCTGAGCGTGGCCCGAGTCAGGAAAACCAGATCCTCACAAAGGGCCTGTCAGCTGGTGGTCAAATGGGCACTGAGTCTCTGCCCCAGAGTCACCTGTTAGTTTTATTTAGTTTAGGCTATTATTAGGCTATTTCAGAGCTTTTTTTCTACGTCAAGAAGGGTCTTAGGATATGAGTCTCGGAATCAGTTCCCAGACAAGGCCTCAGCCAGAGGCTGAGGTGCTGAGGTGAGGCGACATACCTCCCTCCCTCTCCTGCTCTGTTCCCACCCCCATGACGAACTCAGCCTTGGCAGTCTTGTCATTGACCACGGATTTCTATTTGCAGGACTTGTTCCAACAGCCTGTTAAAACATGGTGGATTACTATGAAGTTCTAGGCGTGCAGAGACATGCCTCAGCTGAGGATATTAAAAAGGCGTAAGTAATTGTATTTCTGAAATAATAAATCTGTGCAGTTGTACACTGATAATTGGGTAGTGTAACTTGATATATTGCCTCTTAAAATGGCATTTAATGTAGTATAAGAGTCTTTGAATGCTGCAGTTTAATTTTAGCTTTAAAAAGAGCAGTTAGCAAATTAGCTTTTGCCTTCTCAGAACCTAGGCCCAGCCCATCAGTTGTCATTTGGGGATGAGAGAGAAGATCACTGGGTTTCCTCTGTTACTTTGCCTTGGTACAGTGGATTCCATTTCTGCTGGAAGTAGATCGAAAACTTAGGATGTGAAATAATCCCAAAGAACTTGGTCATTGGACTTCGAAATGGAGTTGACCTAGCACTCTTAGAGTGGTGCCATAACATCCTTGGTATGGTTGCTTGAAAATCCCCATTGTACGGCCACAGCCTGCACCATTAGAACCCATTCTGGTCCACATTGAAGTCTGTACTACTTGCACCTTTGTGACCAGGGTCCGGCCCATGTGAGGGGTCAGTCTTAGGTCATGGGTTGCTCTCAAGGTGCACTGGATCTATTTAATTCATTTGACATTAACGCATAGCAAAAAATGTCATAAAATAGATTTTATAGATTTTTAGCATAGCTAGGGAGACTAATAAGGAAACCTGGAATATTTGGAAATTAGGTTTCCTTTTGTGTTGTAAGAACCAACTTTTTTAATAATACATGATGAAGCCTATGGTGCTAGACTTAGTAGGTCTGCAGATGGAAATTAAGGATTGTTGAACCAAACAGTTCTCTTTAAAATGCTAAAAAACACAGCAGGTTGACTGCTATGTTGGGCATACCTGAAGCTGCTTGCAGAACATCCCTGTATCAAACCTTGGCCAAGAAACCGAGTTGGAGCAGCCCGTTCAGGTGAGACTAGGCAGGCCGAGGAAGGGCCTCAGAGCCATGTCACCAGTGGCCTCTGGGATTCCTCACACCTGGTCACAGTTCACAGCCAATAATAGCTTGGTGCAGTTGGAAATATTATACTGTTCTTGAATAAACATAATATGTGCACAGTACCTCTATTATCTGGTGGAAAAACATGCCTTCGTTATGCCAGACGCAATTAGAAAGTAGACTGGTTTTAGTACCTGTGGGAACATGGGTTGATCAGTATCTCCAGGATGACTTTGAAGTATGAATTTAGAAGGTGTTATCACCTTAAAAGGAACCCTGATTTTCCTATTGAGCATGCAGTTGAATAAATATTGACTTAGACAACACCAGATTTAGCCTTGTTTGTTTTTAATGAGCAAAATTGCAGCCATGGATGGTGCATATTCATAGAAAAGTCCATTTTGTGGACTCCAGGCTTTGTTCCTGTGCGACAACCAGAAAAACTTTTGTTTGAGGACTAACAGCGTGTGGCTTTCACTCCCTTCACATTTCTGCTGAGAAACCTACAGTCTCACTGTGTTTGCATCACAGGCAATCTGAGTGATTCCCTTCCCTCCATGGTGCTAACGTACTGGTGTGTAAACCAAACTGTAGTCTGAAGGTCAGCATTGAAAGACATTCGAACCCACACATCTGTGGACAGCTGATCTTCGACAAGGGAGCCAAGAACATACAATGGAGAAAGGAAAGTCTCTTCAATAAATGGTGCTGGGAAAACTGTATAGCCACATGTGAAAGAATGAAAATAGACCGTTACTTCACACCATACACAAAAATTAACTCAAAATGGGTTAAAGACTTGAATGCAAGACCTGAAACCACGAAACTCTTAGAAGGAAACAGGCAGTACGCTCTTGAACATAGGTCTTAGCAACATATTTTTAAGTAGCGTGTCTGACTGGGCAATGGAAACATTAGAAAAAAATAAACAAATGGGACTACATCAAACTAAAAAGCTTCTGCACAACAAAGGAAACCATCAACAAAATGAAAAGGCAACCTAACAATTGGGGAAGGTATTTGCAAACCATATATCTGATAAGGGGTTAATCTCCAAAATATATAAAGAACTCATACATCTCAACAACAAAAAACTAACAACCCAATTAAAAAATGGGCAAAAGACCTGAACAGACATTTCTCCAAAGAAGATATACAGATGGCCAACAGGCACATGAAAAGATGTTCAACGTCATTAACTGTCAGGGAAATGCAAATCAAAACTACAATGAGATATCACCTCACTCCCGTCAGAATGGCTATAATTAACAAGACAGGAAACAACAAGTGTTGGAGACGATGTAGAGAGAAGGGAACTCGCTTACACTGCTGGTGGGAGTGCAAACTGGTGCAGCCACTATGGAAAACAGTATGGAGATTTCTCAAAAAATTAAGACTAGAACAATCCAGCTATTCCACTGCTGGGTATTTATCCAAAGAACATGAAAACATGAATGTGTAAAGATACATGCACCCCTGTGTTCATTGCAGCATCATTCACAGTAGCCACGACTTGGAAGCAACCTAAGTGTCCATCAAGGGACGAATGGATAGAGAAGATGTGGTATATATACACAGTGGCATACTACTCAGCCATAAGAAACCATGAAATTGTGACAACATGGATGGACATTGAGGGTATTATGAAATAAGTGGGAGGGAGAAGGTCAAATACCGTATGATCTCACTCATCAGTAGAAGATAAAAACAACAACGAACAGACACAGACAGGCAGATTGGATGGGTGGTTACCAGATGGGAAGTGGGGAGGGAGGAGAGCGAAAGGGATGATTAGGTGCATGTGTGTGGTGATGGAATGTAATTAATTAGTCTTTGGGTGGTGAATGTGATGTAATCTATGCAGAAATAGAAGTATAATGATGTACACCTGAAGTTTATATAATATTATAAACCAATGTTACCACAGTAAAAAAGAAAAGGAAAAAAGACATTCGAGACCTCTTACATAATACACTTAGTGTATTATGCTTTGAATCTAAAAAATTTTGGTAGTCTTGCACAAGCCATATACAGTTAACTTCCTGGATTCTCACACTTTTCTTCGTTTTCACACACGTGCACTACAGCCATGCATCACTTAATGATGGGTATATGTTCTCAGAAGTGCATCATTGGGTGATTTTGTCTTTGTGTGAACGTCAAGAGTGTACTTAAGGGGAACAAAATTTGCCACCCCAAAATGTAGTTCTTTACCATGAGGATTATTTTAGGCTGAATATTTGTAAGAAAGAAAAGACTCCGTTTTTCTTGTTACCTCCTCCTCAATAGCGGAAAAGAATTCAGATGAGGAAAAAAAACCTGTCTCAGGAGGTGAGCTGTCACCTTGACATCACATGAACCAGGTGGTAGGCAGGGAGGCACCTGGAAAAGCCTGTTTGTTGAGCTTGCCTCTGTATTCTTTTTCTTTGTGGCCAAACGAACATTTGCTCCTTTTCACCTACCTGTGAATTCCTTCCTTCCCTTGGAGTCCCTGACTCCCCACCCCCAGTGTCATCGTTTGCCTGTAGCCTAGGATGGTGTTCAGGGTGAGGGGTTCTGCCATTTTGGATGGGGCGGCTGTGGCACAGCCAGGCTGTGCTGATCTTACGGCCAGCACTTACATACTTGGTCTGTTGTTCACGGAAGCATCAGCACGTGGTGCATGACTAGTGCACATCAGTTCGTTCTCTTTAGTCTTTTATGTGGTCTGTCATTTTTTATGGAGGATTTATAGCACGTGAGTTTTGGTTTGCTACTGCATGTTTAGGTCCACAGTGGTATGAGAATAAAGTACTGTTTCAGCATTGTAGATTCCAGTTTTAATCAGATTTTGATACGTTAAGCCACGTTTTTTGATTAACGTTCTGAAATTAAATTGAACCTCAGCAGCCTTACATTAATAACTTGTCAAAAGTTAAAAGGACTGTCAGGTTCTTATTCTAGTCTTAGATTTTGAGGGACACGCCTTTTCCCCCTGTACTGTCCCCCCCTCTTAAATGTATGCAGCTTATGTTTAATTAGAAGAAAGGGTGTTATTTTGTATTTAAAAAGTGTGTGATTGTTATGCTAATTGAAACCTTGGAACAGACTTGGTCATGGAATCTTTAAGTGAATCTTGAATCCACAAGAAGGGGGCTTTGTGAAAGATGCTGGGATACTTGACTGTGCTGTGGTCCGTGGCCCACCTTTCCACACTGATGCGTGAAGTAATGGGCTGGTGAGGCCACGCGGACATAAGGATGAGGACAGTCACATTGAATCTTTCCTGCTCATTTAGCAAGGCTATCTTCTGTACATACTCCGTGTACTTTCTCAGCCTTATCACCATAAGTTCACACTGTGCACACCTTGGTCCTTAAACATTGTAACATTTTTCTTTCTCTGGAGGTTGGTTTGTATTATGCTATATCTGGATTTTAGAACTTGTTTACTTCATGTTGGAGGAAAGGGAGATTTTACAATTGAAACTGATACTAATCTCACTAGTTTGCACTCTGAAGCCTTTTTTGTGCTTAATGATATTCAGAGGCTATTGGGTTTCGGACTTTGGATGTGATCAAGACCCTCTTACTCTTTTCAAGATATCGGAAACTGGCACTGAAGTGGCATCCAGATAAAAATCCTGAGAATAAAGAAGAAGCGGAGAGGAAATTTAAACAAGTAGCTGAGGCGTATGAGGTGTTATCAGATGGTGAGTAATGCTCCATGGGGGTCAGGGCCCTCGCCTCCTTATAGCAGAGTATGGATGTGGCTGGCTGAGCTTTGGGGCTCTTGGAACGAAGTTTCTTAGTTATGAAGATTTGACTCTCACGTTCCTTCCTGGCAGTTAGCTGTGAGTGCTGTGGAGCACCCTGGTTTCTCGCGAATTCTCCTGGGATGGCTGTTTTAAAGATTTTATTTATTTATTTATTTTCCCCCCAAAGCTCCAGTAGATAATTGTATGTCATAGCTGCACATCCTTCTAGTTGCTGTATGTGGGATGCAGCCTCAGCGTGGCCGGAGAAGCGGTGCGTCGGTGCACGCCTGGGATCCAAACCCGGGCCGCCAGCAGTGGAGCGCGTGCACTTAACCGCTAAGCCACGGGGCCGGCCCTGGGATGGCTATTTTAAAACAGTACTGACACCCTGGTCTGAAGACTGACAGGAGAGATCAGATCATAGGACTCTGTCTGGGTCACTGCATGGTGGTGGAGGCAGCCCCTTTTGTTGTTGGGGTAATAGCCTCTCATCTCCATTGAGTACTTTTTTTTTTTCCCCCAAGGAAGACTGGCCCTGTGCTAACATCTGTTGCCAGTCTTCCTCTTTTTATTTTTTCTCCCCAAAGCCCCAGTACATAGTTGTGTATCATAGTTGTAGCTCTTCTGTGTGGGACACCGCCTGAGCATGGCTTGATGAGCGCTGAGTAGGTCCGTGCCCAGGATCTGAACCGGTGAACCCTGGGCTGCCGAAGCAGAACGCGTGAACTTAACTGCTACGCCACCAGGCCAGCCCCTCCATTGCCTACTTAGGCATACTTTGCTAATGTATTGATTTTTACTACTGGAGAGGACTTCCTTAGTTTCAGGAAATAAGGAATTGAGCATACAGCTGAGATTTAGACTTCAAAACTTCTAGGTATGTTTTCCCACCCCAGGTCTAGAGCATAGGTATGCCATGTTATTGCAAGTCAGATCTGTTAGCCTAGCTTCATGAATTATGTGAAAGGTTAGCTCTTAGCCAGATACAGTCACTGGGTTCTTGGTGAAGGTATGGGTGCTGGGATAAGGAGAGCAGTGTGGAACTTTGTAAGAAAACTGGAAACATGCTGACACCACCTTGCCAGGAAGCAGCACTGGATGACTTGGTGTGAGTCAAGGCAGAGGTATCGAAACAGTTGGAGACTGATTCACTGCCCACAGGGAGCGTGTCCACACATGGTCAGGGTCACTCCTGAAAGACATTGTTGATTTTATCACTGCGTCGTAAATCAACAGTCGGGTTTTTGAGCTAGCCTGACAGCAAATACACGGGACCTCAGTGTCATCTTGTTTGTGCTGATCCAGCACTCCTAGATTTGTGGATTTCACGGACCAGGAACTTTAGAAAAGTCCAGGACTAAACCCAAACTTGATATTTGGCAGAAAGAGAACTTCTAAATTCCCATAAAAATGCTGTTGTCCTCTTTTTGTTGCGTGAGCGTGTATTTTTCATGTTCCCTTGCGCAACCTCCAGCCTCAGCTGGACCGTTGAGAGGCATCTTCACAGGTGCAGTTACTGTTCTTTTCAGGGCTCTGGTTCCCCAAAACTGGCTGTAATTGGTTTGCTTATTCATCCGTTTTCCTCATAACCTCTGTTATTTTACTGCATGATTTTGTAGAACATGAGATTTTGGGGGAACACACGTGATGTATCAAAAGAACCTCCGTGTTTAAACAGGGCTACATTGTAGTTCTTTTTATTCTAGAACGTAAATTGTAAGAGGACAGAGGACAGTAGCACATCATCAAGGCTGGCTGGGCTGTTGCCTTACAGGGGGGAGTGAGCCTGTAGGGCAGGGTTAGCTCTTTGTCTGGCTTTTAGTACATCTGCTTTCCACCCTCACCGAAGCCCTGTCCTGTTCTCCTTGTGCCTTGGATCTCATCCCCCATTTGGACTTGGTAGCAAGAAGGGACTTTTCTAGGTTTGGGATAATTTTGTAACTTCGTACTGTGGTTTTAATGTAGTTTGCCATGGGCTCTGTGGGCAGTTGAGGGACATAAATATTTTAATATTTATAATCACATTTTAAACTTAATAATACTTAAAAATTGTTCCCAGAGGTTTTTAAGGAGAGATTTTCCCTCTTCCCCCTCTTTGCTTTAAAGTAAGGGGGGCCTAACTCCTTAAAACTAATTGTGAAAAATTTAAAATTGTATGGTTTTTTGATTTACAATTTTGGAAATACTCTATCTATTGAATTTTGAGGGGAAAATAACTAGGTCTTTACTGACTTTTCTTTTTAAATTTATAGCTAAAAAACGGGACATCTATGACAAATATGGCAAAGAAGGATTAAATGGTGGAGGTGGAGGTATGTAAATGTGGATTTTCTCTCCTTGTGGTGATGAGTGGGGTGATCTGGAGACAAGGTCTTGAGGAGGGTTGAATCTGTTAGTTCTCGGGGACAGAGATGTCTTTCAGTAGATACAGATGCATCCTAGCAAGTGGGCTGAATTAGGGAAGAGGAAGGAGATTGATAGCATTTAAAAGGCCTATTAAAAATCTTTTGTTAGACTAGAAAGTATATGTTGGTGTACTTTTTGTAGATAAATAATTTACAACCTTAACTGTAATATCACTAAGTTTGTACCCCCAGATTGGTACCTTATGTTATGTCAGAATATCCTTAGGGTTTAAAAAACAAATTCTACTGAAAAACTAAAATAACTGCCTCTGGTGGTGAGGCCTAGATGTGTATTTTTGATAAAACGTTCCTGTAACAGCCTGCCATCCTGCAGCTTCCACAGGGGGGCATTTGGAAACTAATGCTCCAAAGCACCCATAGGCTAGTTGGATGAGTGAATGTTTATGCTTGGTTTACATGAAGTTTTGTAACAAAAAATAACAGTGGTGTGTGATGTTAATGTGCCGATATAAATTTAGAGATGGTGAGAAAGCACCAGGGTGCGCTGATGCTGTGAAACAGGACCGCTGTAGTCAGAGCATGTATATCACTCTGGGCACAGAGGGTTTCCATCAAGGCAGGACTCGTGTTTTGAATTTTAGAGCCTCCGGTTTATGAAATATTTTCTTTTTTTAGGTTTTGAGTTAAGTAATGTTCTGTAGACAAATAATTGTTTGCCTGCTAAACACAAGAGTTCGTAAACTAAAAGCCGTGCTGTGCTTGTGTAGGTGGAAGTCACTTTGACAGCCCATTTGAGTTTGGCTTCACATTCCGTAATCCAGATGAGGTCTTCAGGGAATTTTTTGGTGGAAGGGACCCGTTTTCATTCGACTTCTTCGGTAAGTTAATGTCTTGGTCATCGTTTACTTGGTGTGTCCATGACTCACATGAAGACTGACATGCCTTTCTGTGTAATTACCGGTGTTACCATTGTATCTTGTCCCTAAACTTTGTGTTTTAGCAGCATAAGACTTCTGAAACCCTTTTTCCTGCTCCCTTTTGAAGGTTTTTCTGAATTTACACCTTGCACATTAAAAATAATAAAGGTTTTAATGGATTCGTTCCCTTCACTGTGTGGCCCTAATAACCTTCCTTTGCCATCTCAGAAAGTGATAAGGACCAGGATGCTGGGGGCTCAGAAATGCTGTTTTCTTTTGAACACTGAATTCTATGTGAATTTGCCGGGTAATGTTCTGATTAAAAACACTAAGCATCCTAGTGCATACATGTTAAGAAGACATTTGATCTATAAACCTGTTTTTCTCTTTCTAATTGTGGTGTATTGTGACTGAGTTTACAATTTGTGAAAAGAAAGTTCACGGATAGAGCAAGGCAGCACCACTATTCCTCGTTGCAAGAGTAACCATGGTGTTCTAGCTGCTGTTTCGCCATAGGAGACAGGATTTTCCCATCAACTGCCCCCGTAGTCCTGATGCCCTATCCTAGGTTTTTGTGCGTCTCTCGGACTCGGGCAGTGTCGGGAATTGTTGTTTGCCGTCCGTTGTTAGAGCGTCCTCTCCACTGCTGCAACCGTCTGGTGTGCTGGGCGACTTGGGAGGTCAGGGTTCACTGCTGCCTTAGTCACTTTGTCCTTTGGCTCATTGAGGGGAAACACATCCTGTGTGGACTCCCTTCATTGCCTGGCGGAAGAGCCTGAACACCACATGCAACCCCTCAGGAGAGAAACAAGGAGAACAGTTCTCTACAGACAGCATGGGGGAAACCAGTGGACCCTGCCCAACATAGGCACGGAGAGGGAGTCCGCTACCGTGTCTGGTAGGTATTGGGCCTTTTAAACTGAACCTGCAGTCCTTCAGTTTATTTCAGTTGGGGATTCAGAGAGATTTTCCTTATTTTTTACTGTGGTATGGCCTGACTTCGTAAGAAGGTAGCTTTCCAAGGAAGGGAAGGACAGCTAGCGTATGTTAGCCTTTTCATTAACAAATGTAACAGCGAAAGCTAAGCAGGGGAATGTTCAACTTGGGATAGGGGAGAAGACTGTAGGTGGTCTTTTTTGCTTTAATTACTGCTACCATAAACATAAAAATAGATATTGGGAAGGCTCCCTATAAATACGAAATAAAATCGTATTTATATCCTTTATTAATTGGCCTTCATGTAGGCAAGAAATCATACTGTAAGAAAAATACAAAGAAGTGAATGATCTTTTCTGTCTTAAAATTACCTTTGTGTCTCCTAGCAGCCTTTAGCAAACTCCAGATGTGTGTTTTGGGGAGCAGGGCAGTATTGGGTGAAGTGTTGTGTTTGGATAGCATGAGTCTCCTGGTGGCCAAGTGAGGAAGAATGCCTCATCTGCCACCTGGGGCTTCGGTTCTAGGGTACGCAAGGAGTTGGGGGCAGCAAAGAGGGGTAAAGCAGGCCCATTTCTCTGAGCCTGAGGCCAGGCGTCTTAAACATGCTTTATGTCTTACGTGATTTTTTTAAAGAGTAAGAGGGAAGAATCTCTTAGTGATTGAATTGTAGCCAGATTTTGTTTCCCTTGGGAAAAAAATATGACTGGCCAAGCTTCCTCATTAAAAATGATTTTCCTTGAGCAGTTCCTTCTAGAGTAAAGAAGGTGTAGAGATTATAATTAGATGTGAGTGAGCAAGTAACGTATAGTTTTTGCTTATGTACTTAGCTGTTTAAACCTACTTTCACATCTAAATTGTGAGATTTGTGTGTGTAAAGAAGTCTTTACATGCATGTATATTTCACCTAGAAGGATTACAGATTGCCATGTACGGCTCATTTTGGTGGAAATTTCCTCTATTGGACTCAGTCCAGTTTATGAGATAACTAGTCTTACTGTAATTCCAGCCTCTTGGGCCCTGTGTTTTAGATAGTGAGATGGTCACATTTTAACCATAGGCATGCCCCCTGTGTTTCCCATGACTAGTGTGGCAGTGATACTTCTTCAATCCATTCTTGTAGGTGTTCTAGGTGACTTCCATTTTCAGGCTCTAAGGATTTACACGCAGGAGAAGAAGATACTCCATGGCTACTACATGTGCGAAGTGATGGTGCAGCCTGCTGGCGGTATGTTTAGTGTAGATGTGAGTGAGTGCAGGGCTAGGGATTTCTGCTTTGGCACTGCTTTAGTTGATGTTATCAGCATCCAAATCTTGTTTCCCCAACCCTGTTAGGTACATTTATAGTAGCACATTATTTTTTAGTCTTAATTTTTCACATGACCAACTGTTTTTTTTTCTTTCCTGTTCAGGCTTCCAAAAAACTAGTTCAAAATCTGTTAAAAGACATTCTGAGCTGCACTTTGCATTTTTGAGAGTATATAATCCTGTGTCTGACTTCAGACACCCCAAATGAAAGAGGAGGAAACTCAGAGAACCAGAGAGCTGGGGGGAGGAGTTGGGGTGTGAAAGGTGTTGGACGGACTGTAAGCAGTTCTGTGCCCAAGGACTGAGCTGTGGGAACTGTCACATTGTGACAAAGAGGACTTGGGCCTGGGGTCCTGCTGATGTTGACTCCTCCGTGACACTAGATGCCGTCCCAGAAGAGATAGTAGAGGCTGATTCTAAAACCAGCACTGAATGCTGGCTCCGAAATGGAGGGGTGCAAACAAAGCTCCTGAGGCTAGCTGACTTTGTTTAAATTTTTTCCCAAATATGGCACCCACAAAAATGAGCCCTTGTCACAAAATTAATGAATAGGGATTGCATTAATTTGAATTGAGTGATATGTTCATTTGTTTATTATTATAGGATACCATTACTCAGTGAAATGATGTTCTAAGAAAAGTAATTAATATCAGTGCCTTTTGATCATTAGAGTCGTAGCAGGAAATATTGTTTGGAAGAATTGTGTGGGCATAACTTGACATTTTTACTTACTTGTATTCTCATGTTGAAAAGCCAAAACCAAACTTTAAAACCTAACATCATTTCCAGAGAACCTGCTCATTTTAGCATATTTTTCCTTCACAATCCATCACAAGCCTTGGTGAATGAAAAAATTAGTGTGGCAATAGAGAAATATTATGGCATGGAGACCCAGGGAGAGCAGGCCTTTGGAGGGAAGCATAATTCTATAGAGGAGGGTAGAAGCCTAATTGTCCTGAGCCCAAGTTAATTTTAACATAGTGAGTCGGTGATTTTGCTCCCCCAGGGTTCGAGGAGGTGGCGAGTGAGGAGTTGGAGCCTAGTGAAGAGCTAGACCAGCCCTGTCTTGAGGAGACGGTGGAAGACACCCAGAGCGAAGAGAACAGTGAGGTTTTGGATGTGATATCCAGCGAGGAACTGGATGTCTTTAGTGAAGATGAGCCGAGCGAAGGCTGTAGCCGGGGCCAGGGCGAGCTTCTGAGTGAGGAATTGGAGTTTATATCCAGTGAGGACGAGGCAAGTCTGGGGGACGCGGAGGAGCTCAGTGAGGAGTGCGAGGAGCTGCTGAGCGAGGACAGCGGGCCGGAGCTCGAGGGGCTGCTCGAGCAGCAGTAGCTGTGGAAGACCCGCCCATCTCTTTCTTGTGAGGAGGCCAGCTTAAAGTGTATCTGGAATAAAAAGTTTCTGCTACTAGTGCCTTGGTCAGAAACTCGTAGCTGTCTTGGAGATACCTGAAGAAACAAGAAGGGTGGGGACCCTGGGAGCTGCAGACCCGCTGTCTCACACGTTGTCTTTCACGTCAAAGCCAGTGCTTACAGACCCTGGAAGCAGGGTTTGGGTCTGTGGTAGTGTCCTGGGGCTGCCGTATCAGAGCTCCCCACCCCAGGGGCTGAGACAACAGAAGCTGATGTCTCCCAGTTCTGGAGGCTGCAAGTCTAGATCAGGGCCTGGGCGGGGCTGGTTCCCTGTGAGGGAGCATTTCTTCCAGGTCTCTCCAGCTTCTGGTGGCCCCAGACAGTCCTTAGCATGTAGATGTCTTCACATTGTGTCCCCTCTGTACATGTCTTTCTTTCTCTGTCCAAATTTCCCCTTTTTCTTCTCTAAGAACACTTGTGATGCTGGATTAGGGCCCACCCTGATGACCTCATCTTAACTTGATCATCTGCAAAGACCCTGTTCCCAAATAAGGTCACATTCACTGGCCCCGAGGGTTAGGGATTCAGCATCTTTTGAGCGGGACACAATTCAGCCTATAATGTTGTCTTCCTTACCGAGTTGTCTGTACAGTTTAGAAGCAGCAGATTTTGAAAGGGGAAAGAAGGAGAAACCTTGAAAGTTAGACATGCTAAGAGGAACTAGAAGTTAAAGTATAGACTGTGGTGGGAGGGGCATGGCAGTTGGGAGTAACCCCACATATGGACCTGCAACCCTGCAGCTTGTGTGGTCTCAATACAGTGCTGCACGTCTGTCACGAAGGTCCTTCATTACTGAAGGACAGAGTCTTGCACGCGCATACCTGCACACGTGTAATGTGAAAGCAGGCAAGGAATAAGACAAAGTCCACGTAAAGATGTGATGCCATAGACTGGTTTCCAGCTAAAGTAGCTAAAATAAAAACATTTTTCATGTAACTTTTAGAAGGACTACAAATACAAAGCATGTGGTCCTGGACGAGGGAGGGGAGCAGTCAGCACTGCTGCCCTGTGGCTTCTCCGCTTATTTCTCTCACGTTGGGGGATTCACTGCTCTGGTGCGCTTGTCTTGAAGAACGTGAGGTATGGTTCTATGTGTATTGGAGAGCTCTTGCTGTGGGATGTGGAGCTGGCATTTGAAAGTTGTTCATTTTCACTTGAAATTATGCTGGCAGTGAGGGGTGGGTGCTATGCTAGTGATTCTCGGCTTCTTTTCAGGTGTTTTCAGTATATGCTTAGTGACGGTGAGACATTTGTTCCTCTCACCCCTCAGCACTCCTCCCCCCAATAGGGAGAAAAAGTGGTTTC